GTCTAGGAACTAATTTCCAAACTTCATTTCTTTCAAATTGATTAAGCTCTTCTTGCATAGCCATAACCCAAGACTCATCTTTTTCAGCTTCAAGGATATTTTTAGGTTCAAGTTGAGAGACAAAAGCTACATAGTTGCATATATTGCTAATTTGAGATCTTGTGCAAACACCTTTGGATGGATCGCCAATGATTTGATTTATTGGATGATTTGGCACTTGCTTCCAATCCTTGGAAAGAGTGACTTTATGAGGATGACATTCTTTTGAATTATCTATGGAAAGATCATCAAAAGGTGAATTGCTTATGTCAAGAGTTTCAATACTCTTTTCAATTTCCACTATATCCTCATTATCATCCAAAGAACCTCTAGAAAGAGACAGGGGTGATTCATCAAATACAACGTGTATGGACTCGACAACCACACGTGTCCTTTTGTTGAATACTTTAAAGGCTTTACTTCGAGATGAGTAACCTAAGAAAATTCCTTCATCCGACTTAGGTTCAAATTTTCCTAGGTTATCCTTGTCATTTAGTACAAAACACTTACACCCGAAAAGTTTAAAATAACCAATGTTTGGCTTCCTTTTGTTCCAAAGTTCATAAAGAGTTTTATTAAGAAGTTTTCTAATGATGACTCTATTAATGACATAACATGCAATATTAATGGCCTCGGCCCATAAAGATCTAGGAGATGAATGCTCATTTAACATAGTTCTAGCCATTTCTTGGAGAGATCTATTTTTTCTCTCAACAACTCCATTTTGTTGAGGAGTTCTAAGAGCCGATAGATTATGATTGTAACCATTTTCATCACAAAAACTTTCAACATCTTGATTATCAAACTCTCTTCCTCTGTCACTTCTGATGGTCCTAATTTTGTATTCCTTTTCGTTCTCAACTCTTTTACAAAATTTTGAGAATATAGCATAAGTTTCATTTTTATGAGAAAGAAAGAATACCCAAGTGAATCTAGAAAAATCATCAACAATAACAAAAGCATATAGTTTACCACCAAGGCTAGCTACTCTTTCTGGACCAAATAAATCCATATGAATTAGTTCAAGAGGTCTTGATGATGTTATATCCTTTTTCCCTTTGAATAATGACTTAACTTGTTTGCCCTTTAGACATGCACTGTAGGTTTTATCCTTAGAGAAATTAGTCTTTGGAAGGCCTTTGACTAATTCTTGTTTAGATAATTTTGAAATTAGATCCATGCTAGCATGACCTAGTCTTCTATGCCACAACCAACTATTCTCATTTGAAGACACAAGGCATTTAACATCTTGATCATATAATTCACATAGAAGTAAGGTATACACATTTCCATTTCTACGAGCATGAAATATATCATTATTATCCTTTTTCACCATACACTTATTTGATTTAAATAGTACGTCATAGCCTTTATCACATAATTGACTAATGCTAAGCAAATTATGTTTTAAACCTTTAACAAGCAACACATCATCAATAAATAAGGAAGAGGAAATACCTATAGATCCAATACCAATAACCTTGCCTTTTGAGTTGTTTCCAAAGGTGACGCTTCCTCCTTTGTGGGGCTTGATAGAAATGAAATTTGATTGATCTCCCGTCATGTGTCTAGAGCATCCACTGTCCAGAAACCACTTATCCTTGAATGAGGATGAAGCCTTCAAGCAACCCTACAAAAATAATTTAGATAATCTTCTTTTAGTACCCACCTTTTCTTGGGTCTATGGGAGTTAGGAAAAAGCTCATAAGTTCCTTTAATTACCCAAATTTCTTTTGTCTTGCATGGCCTAGTGGGACAATGATTAATTTTATGTCCTATATTCTTGCAATAATTACATTTTGAACTTTGAGATGTATTTCTAACAAAATAATCAGTTAAAGGTTTTCTTTCTTTTATCAAGCAAGATTCTTTGTTATAAGGGTCATATCCAAGTCCATCCTTAGCATTAGCATTTCTTTGTTTACCAAGCATAAGATTTAAGTTTTCTCTACCTATTGTGAACTTAGCTAGAGTCTCGATTTGATCCTTAATTATGATCTTTAAGGACTCATTTTTAGAGGCCAAATCAATAGAAGCTAATTCTTTTGCAAGCTCACATTCTTTTTCCTTTTTCAAAGCTTCATTTTCAGAAAGAGATTTTTCAAGCTTTTGAGAAATAATGTGTTTTTCTCTCTTAAGACTAGTACACTTTTGAACCATCTTGCCTAATTCATCATGCAATTCTTTGAAAGTATCAAGCAAATAATTGTGAGCATCTACTAATTCATCATAAGTATTTTCTAAATCAAGTGAGTCATGGTTCGAATTTACCTCATCTTCATTGGCCATGAGACAAAGATTGACCAACTCATTGATTTCATCATCACTTTCGGATCCATTTGAATCATCATCCTCCCATGTAGCTCGCAAGGCTTGGGCCTTCTTTTTTCGTTCCTTTTCATTTTTATATGCATAGCAATCTGATTTAAAGTGCCCCGTTTTTCCGCAATGAAAGCAAGTAGGTGCTTCTCTTTTTCCATGCTCATTTGTCGAACCACTTCTTTTGAGATTGTTGCTCTTTTGAAACTTCTCCATTTGAAGAACTCTTCTCACGGTTTTGGTGATGAGAGCAATTTCTTCTTCTTCTTCATTGTCAATAGTTTTCTCAACTTCAACTTCTTTCATAGTGGCTGGAAGAGCTAGATCCTTCTTATGGACTTCTTTGTTGTCATCCCCATCATTCATCTCTAGCTCATATGCCATTAAGGAACCAATGAGTTCATCAATAGGAAGCGTGTTGAGATTTTTGGCTTCTTGAATAACAGTTTTCTTGGCTTCCCAACTCTTGGGTAAATACCTGAGAATTTTTCTCACATTTTCAGAAGTTGTATATGACGTTCCAAGAGCCTTCAAAGGATTGACAATGTTAGTAAAACGAGAGTACATTTCACTTATTGTTTCTTTATTATTTATGGTAAATAGTTCATATTTATGGACAAGCATATTCATTTTAGATTCCTTGACATGACTAGTGCCAACATATGTAATTTCAAGTTTATCCCAAATCTCTTTGGCCGTCTCACAATCCGAAATTCTATTGAATTCGTCTTTACTAAGAGCACAATAAAGATTTGTAATAGCCATGACATTACATTGTACAAGCCTGCGCTCATTTGGAGTCCACTCATCATCTGTTTTGGGGATTATTTTCCCTTCAACAGTTTTGGTCGGAATATGATCACCTAGTTCAGTGGCTTTCCAAGCATCAATATCTAAGCTTCTTAGAAATGCTCTCATTTTGATTTTCCAATAATTATAATCATTACCATCAAACCAAGGAGGTCTATTGTTAGATTGACCTTCTTGATGAAAATTGGTCATGATCGTTCTCTAAGATGGTTAGATCTTTAACTAGAGATTAGGCTCTGATACCAATTGTTAACCCCTAATTGACTCTAGAGGGGGAGTGAATAGAGTCAATGGCCAATTTTCGTAATTTATAGATTTGCAAGTTCTATTATACCATTCAAACAATTATGCAACATATAAGATATGAAAATAAACAATTAATAGCACAATTGTAAAAGAGATAAGAGAAGAAAAATTTTAAACAATGACTCGGTGATTTTAGCGAGGTTCGGAAACTCCTACTCCTCGGCTCAAGATCCCTCTTGAGACTTCCCGATGCACTATGGCTTCTCCTTACGGGTGGAGAGCAAACCTTTACATGAAGTAAACACTTGCTTCTCTTCTTTGCTAGAAGAACACCCTTCTTCTAGGCTTCTTTGGGTTACACCAACCCTTATAAGTTTGTAGAAGAAATTGTAGTTGTGATACAAGAATGAATCTTTCTCAAGATAGATGTACAAATGTAAGCTCACAAGGCTAGAGTAATAGATGAATTAAAATGAAGCTCAAGTTGGTATGGTTGAGTGAAATAAATGCTTGAGTAAATGCTTTGAATGATATTTCTGAATTCTCTCAACCGCGCACCAGCCTTCTTCAATGCTTGTCTTTTTATAGAGTTCAAGAAAAATGAAATGCATTAATTGCTCAAATATATCTGTTGTGGTAGGTTGAAAAGCATTAAATGTTTGTGTGACCGTTAGAGCAATAAATATATCAACTTCAGATCTGCTTCAGTTTCTAAAAATTAGAAGAAGTGATATTGGATCTCATCTAACCAGTTAGAGGATTTTTCCTAACCGGTTACATCTGCTGAGGGACTTCTTTAGTTAAGGCCAACTATTCGAACACAAGAGGCTTCCTAACCGGTTACATCAAAGGTCAAGATAAGTATCGTTCTGTTAACGCATATCGAACCGGTTATATAGCTTCTTCTAACCGGTTACATCATTGGCTAAGAAAAAATCGTATTCTGTTTAAGTACATGTAAACGGTTACTTGAGTTCTCCTAACCGGTTACGAAAAGGTAGATACAATGTTTTGTATGTTGATTTAAACGATTAGAACAATTCTTCTAACCGGTTACAAGGTGCGGATAAGAAGATTAAGCTTTCTGTTTTGTTCATCTAAACGGTTAGATGAAACTTCCTAACCGGTTATGAGATACCTTCGATCATATGTTGCTTTCTGTTTTAGCTCATCTAAACGGTTAGATGAAATTTCCTAACTGGTAATGTGATTCTAAGGAGATTTTTGATTTTTCTTTTTAAGTGCAGAATCTTGAAAGATGTGAATGAAAATGCATGAGCCAATAGATTTGAGCTTCAAATTAATTCATAGATTACTTTAACAGAAAATCCTAATCACGCACCGATCTATCTACCCATTGTCTTCAAGTTAATCATGATTGCATTATTCTTGGAGTTTGTCTCGGTTGCTTGGCGTATTTTATTTCCTTTGCTCTGCAAACTCAATGCAAACATTAGACCGAGAACACTTCATAATGTTTTGTAGTCATCAAAATTATTAGACGATCTTTAAATGACCTTTAGGGTCAACAATAAACAAAAGAAATATTATAAAAAATAAAAATAAAAATAATCACATCAACACGATTATGCAAACAAATAAATACTTGATATTGTATAAGTTACACCAACCAAAAAATGTATTGTTTACAACACACATAATAAAGCCCATCGCGTAAAAAAAGGAGTCTTAGCATCTAAAACAATTTTAACTCCAAAAATTTGGATCAAAACAAGCTAGTATCTTAAATAAAATGTTTGAAGATCCTAGACAAAAATAAGATATAGATTCCTGAACAAAGGGTTCAAAGACTTGGACATACATTACTTAAACTATCTTAAACATAAAGAGCTTGAAGTCTTATAGCATGAGCCCATCCAAAAATCTGCAAAACAAACAATGAATAAATACAATTAGTGCCTATGTCAAAAAAAAAAAAAAAAAAAAAAAATGAATCTACAAAAAAGTTATGCTGCTACAAAATTCATTTAGGATTCTGAATACTTTTTTAAAAGAGAAATGAAAGAAAGTTGGTAGAATTTGAGAGAACCAAATTAATAAAATCAAATACTTAAGTAGATACTAATTCTTCCTATATTTCTTTATTTTTCTGTCTTGATATTTCCATGGAGGTTTTTGCCCACTAAGATCAACTAATGACCTTGTATTGCTGCATCTCACAAATCTTCTCCTACTTTTCTTCTCCCACCTCACCCTCAAAGAAACAAAAATAAAAAGAGATAGACAATGGCACATATATCAACTCACCTTACAAGTAAATTCTCCTTGAAAGCTTAAGCCTCCAGCAACCAAAAAGTTTTCACTCACTGCTAGCGTGCTGATCTACCTTTGTGTAAAGTCTTCTAACAAGCTTCCCGTATGTCTCTAGATGACAAATTATTAGAAATAATTAGCCGAGCAGAACATTAACGCAAAAATAAAAAAAATAAAAAATAAAAAATGAAGGAAGTAGAAGAAAATTGGGGGAACATAAATAAGACTTCTTTTCATGAGAAACAAACATAAAGATGGGGTAAAGTCATTCTCAAAGCCTCAAACTGAACAAGAAATATGACCCATTTTTTGGACAACTGCAAATAATCTACACTTTATATAGGAGTTGAAATTAATTAAGGCAAAAAAAAGGCTATTAAACACATGAAAAAGAACACTCTTCTAAGAAAGAAGTGTCTATATCAAACACATGAAAAGAAGAAAAAAAACTATTAAGCTTTTGAAACTTCAAGAGGACAATGGAGAAATTAAGACAAAATCATTAACAAAGAAGAAATGCACATGCTTGAAACCCCTCCTCCAAAGTTCTTCACCCAACCTAGTATGCCTAGTAATTAACCCTCACAAAAGCTGAATAGCATGAGAAAACCCATTAAATCTCCCAATTCAATTCGTTTATGCAAATCAAAACAATTTTCTTCTCATAATCAACACTCAAAACCTGCAATTAATATCAACCCAAGAAAGTAAACAATTAAATTAATAAATAAATTATTAACAAATTAATATAATTAATTAATTAGTTGGGATTAAATTCAAAGTGTGTGTATATATATAAATATACACCTGGGTGATCATATCAGAAGCTTTGCTCCAACGAAATGCAAAATATCTGAGAATACAGGTTTGGAATTCCTCCACCAACTTGACATACAGTGACTCAGCATTTTTCTTCTTAGCAAAATACTCATACATTTTTTCTTCGCAGTCTTTGGTTTTCCTCAAATATTCATTAGCTAACTTGCATAATTGGGGATACTCACTTGCATCCTTAAACCCTATTTGCCTAACTGCACAAAGTATATATATATATAGAACAATAATTAAATATTTTATAAAAAAAAATTAAGATTTTGAGAATTATATATATATATATATATACCATTTAACAGTTACCAAGTGGTTAATATCTATATATGTGTGTGTGTGTGTGTGTGTGTGTGTGTGTGTGTGTGTGGTAAAGCAGATATATATACTGACCAACATAATGAGAAAAAGTTTCATGTTTTCCTCATGAGAAGAGCCTGTGCTCTCAAATTGCGGAATAATATAGTTTTCTTTCGAGAATTTAGACTTTTTCCGGTAAAAATGAATAGCAGCGCCGGCGGAGATGAATCCCATTGAGGTTGCAGCAAGGATGTGGGCAAGAATGTTAACTTTGCCACATCCATCTAATTAAACATAAATATTTAAGAGTTTAATTAGAGACCTTTCTCAAATGATCAGAAAGGAGGAGAAAAGAGAGAGTGTGTATTACCTTTCTGTATGATGTTGTTTTATCCAAAGAAGAGTTAGGAAGGAAGGTTGCAGCTGCAAAATATATTTGATTGAGCTCAGATGAGACTTTCTTTAACCAGTTGAAGAAGAAAAAAATGAATTATGGAGTAATTTATAAGATACCTACTCGTTAATTGCTTTTCCCAATGTAAATGGAAGCTTTGCACATGCCTCAATTAGAACCGTATGAACAAATATCGCATTTTCTCTAACCTACCAATTCAATTCGTTTCTCTAATCAAAACAACCGTATGAACAAATATCCCATTTTCTTCCCTTTTATTACATTTTCCCAACATCCAAACTGGAAGTCAAGAACAATTCAAAAATCAAACAATCTATCCAAAATAGTCAACATTCTATTTAGTATTTTCTTCTATGTTCCTACAATTTTCTCAATGCCAGAAGAAAAATTAGGAACGACCAAGGAAACATCTAAAACACAATCCCATCAAAACTGCAAAGCATCCGAATTGAAATTTTCTATTCCTACATATTTCAGAAACCAATCAGATCACAACAAGCTATTCAGAAAGGTGTACAATCTAAAGCATATAAATTTTATAAAATCTGCAATAAGAAATGAACAAACGCATAAATATGGAAATGCCTATGGTATACATATATATATGAAAAATTAGAAAGAAAACCTGCTCAACTTCGTCCCACCATCTAAGCTCGGCTTGAATCTTGTTGCAAAACACATTGTACAGCAGGGTCAGGTAGAATAGGATCCGAGCCCCCGCTCCGACTAGCGCTCTCTTCGCATCGACCCGAACAATCTGTCCTCCTCCACCAACATGATCTTGATCGTATTTTACATCATCGTCCAACTCTTCGATCTTCATGTCACCAATCGCAACCAGAATTCGAACAAAACCAATCGAAACTATAGAATGGTATAACAAGTTGTGGATTCGAATTTGTTACCCAATGGAGATTTACACCGATCGAAAGAGGAAAAGATGGATTCGAATCTAAGGACATGGAAATTCGACATTTTTTGTGATTATTCGCGGAGAAATGGACACTCCGTTCACTTGGATTCTCAGTATCTACGTTGAATAAGGTGAGAGAGTGTTAGGGCTTGGGTTGGAAAAAGTAAAGAAAGACCGATCAAGTGGGCGACTATTTGACCATCTTTCTATTCTTCGTCTGCATCCCTTTACCCATTGCAGCACATTAAGAAAGATTTTTCAGACCATTCCGTGTTTGAATTGAGAGAGGGAGATAAAATATCTTTGGGCGGCAATCCAAAATAATTGAGCCACGCAAATCAATTTTTTTTGGGTGAAAATAAATACTGTACTTAAATAAAACACTTTCTACATCCCATTGCTCTAATAAATAAATAATTATCATTTCAAAATTATCTTGTTATATTTTTTTAAGATATACAATTACTCCATTAATTGTTATGTGACAATTTTTACTCAAAACAAAGTTGATAACATACCACTCAAATTTGAACCTTTTTTTTTTTTTTTTTTTTTTTTTTTTGTCAACTATACTAGCGTCAAAGTCTCTTAGAATTATTCTATTTAAAAAATAAAAAAAAAAACTAATTACTTCTTTCTAAGCCAATTCTCATTAATTCAATCACAATGGATAATTCAATCAATTTTTTATTATACTTTGGAATCAATGATAATAAAAAAATTTGATCATGTGACCAAACTAAGATAAGTTAAAGTATGACTTCACTTATATGTAATAGTATAGTGTTGTAATAGTAATTATAATATTTTAATATTTAATATTAATTATTGTATCAAACTTAGTGGTATGAAATTAGGTTCACTAAAAGTCTATCTCAATCTCAATACCGATTCAAGGTGATCAATTAATATATAATTGAATAGTTCATATAATAAGTTAATTATTTATATTTTTGTGCATAAATATATGTACACTATATGTGAATTATATTTAGGGAAGTATTATTAGTTGTTAATTAAGTTTAATTATTTATTGATTTAGTACTTGATGAATAAGTGTGTGTATATTATACACATTAACTGATACTAATACACTTCTTCTTTTTTCTTTTTTTCCTTTTTTTTCATGGAGCATCTGATCGGTTAGATTATGGAAGTGATCGGTAGGATCAGATACTGTTTCATCATGCTTTCTAAATTTTCATCCATTTGATCGGCCACTTGGACACATCTGATTGATTACATTGGTGAACTGGTCGGTCAATTGATAAACCACAAAAAATGCGATTTCATTGGTTTTAATTAGCATCCTATCGATAGTATGACTGATATGATCGGTCAGAAGAAAAATAAATAAATTTTCTATTTTAATCATCTGATAGACAGCATGGGCTGTTACTTCTTTATACCTTATTTCCATTGAAAATATTCAAGTAAATAAGAAAGTACCCCTTATTTGGATTCAATAAAAAATACAAGAAAATTAAAATCCAACTAAATCAAAATGTAAAAATTTAGTTTTAATACAAATTGGAATTCCCGGAAGTTTTGGTAAAACTTGATCCTCCGTGTATACCTATGTAGAATTGATGAAAAAATCTCATAAAATCAGTTTAGGCTATTTAAAGTGTAAGGAGTAATTACCGAAAAAAATTATTTTGAAAATATCTTTATTTCAAAAAATCATATTTTCCATACTCATCCAAAAAACCAAGAAATAGTTTTTCATGAGAAATGCCCGAATCATAAAGTCATTTACCAAATCATGGTAACAAAGGCTTTGTGGATGAAAAAGTAAGTTCAATGTCTTAGACTCTACTTTCTAGAGACTAAAATAAAACATATGATTGATGTGCATGGTCTTAGCATTTCTAGCTAAAGTATTGAGTTTTTTCAAAGCTTATACAAGCTTGAAGTAACTCATTCTTTTAGCAATGACTTCATGTGTCTATGCATGTGAATGATGATATGATATGTATGGTCCTATAGAGATGAGCTTCAAGTAGATTCATAAATACTTTGACATTGAATCATAAACACTCACCATATTATCTACCCATTTCTTCAAGCTTTGTCCATAAATGATTGTTTAAGCTTTAAGGTATTCTTACTTTCTTCCAATTTCTTTGAGTTGCTTGTTTGCTCATTAATTATAGTCCAAGTTATCTTTGGATGGACTTACATTTGGTTCCTTGCAACTTCATGTCTCTTTGTATCTATTCTTTTCCATTGATGTGATCTTTATTGCTTCATTGAAGTCATTTTTTGAAAATGGATCATTTATAATACTCAATGTATATAATTAAACATTAATCCACAAACACCATTAATGGTTTGTAATCATCAAAACCACTAGATTGTCTTTAGTTAAAGGCTTTGTGTCAACAAAATCCAACATACTTTTAAGATCTTTTATTTCATTTAATTCCTACATCACTAAATATTTTATTTATACCCTTACTAAATAGAAGTAAAATTTTGTAGTTGTAAATTTATTCAAGATTTGATATATGATCTATATTTTTTTATTATATCTTAAATTTTTAATTACTTAAAAATATTGCATTATGGATTTATATATATATAATGATTAATTTAAATTAAATATAAGAATGTTTGGTATGTTTTTTTTTTTAATCTTTTCTGTATGATAAGGAGTGGTATTTAAAAAGGGTCAAATTTAAAGAAAATGTCATTTTGAGGTTTTATTAACAATTAATTAATTTACTTAGGGATTCGGTATTCTAGGCCCCTTATTTAAGGAATTACAAAAACTAAATAAATAAGTAAATAATAATAGTCGATCAACAAAGATATCCTAATTGCCACGAAAACAAATTCGTTACAAAAATGACATTTCGCCACAAGGATTGAAAATTCGTGGCAAAAGATACTATTTGCCACGAATAAAGCATCGTTGCGAATAACTGATAGATTTGGCACGAAAATAGTTATGTGGCAATAGAGTATATCATAGCCACAACTGATAATTCGTGGCAGGATCTATATTTTAGTCACGAGAAAAAAACTTTGTGCCAAAAAATTATATTTGCCACGAAAATAATATCATGGCAAATTATAAAGCGATTTGCCACGAAAATATATACGTGGCAAAAGAAACATACAATTGCCACGAATAGAAATTCGTGGCGTAAATAGCATTTTGCCACAACTTTGTATGTCGTTCCTAATTCGTCGTGGCAAAATTGACATTTTACCATAAATTTTTAGGTCGTTCCTAATATTAGTGGTAAGAACTAGTATTTGCCACGAAAAATTTACTCCATGACTAACACTCGTATATTAGCCACAACAAGTTAATTTTGTGGTCAAAAGATACTTTTGCCACAAAACTTTACGCGTGGCAAAAAAATTCGTGGCAAGATGCCAAATTTGTTGTAGTGAGTTGGAGAGAGACAGAGAGAGGGGGCAAGTTCAGAGTCGAGAACGAGAATAAAGATGGAGGCGATTGGGGAGGCTGAAATGATTTGCCCTAAAAATATTATGTGGGACAAAATGTAATAAGTGGTTAAGATGGGAAGATAATTAATTTCGAAATCAACGGTCAGAGTTAAAGTAAGATTAGGGAAGTTAGAAGTGGGTTGGGCTTGGTTCAATGGAGGCTGAGAATTGCTAAAATATAGCATTTTGGATGAAATGCACCATTGGAGCATAATTGTTAAAATATAGTATTTTGACACGGTAACTCCTCTCAAAATATAGATTTGGCAATTCGAAATGACATTTTGCATTGGAGATGGTCTAAATGATTGCTTTGTAGTTGAAGAATCATTAACGTGTTGCAAATGACTAACTATTTAGTTTTGAAACTATTTTACTAACAAAATAAATTTGGTTCCAAAGCTTGTCAATTATTTTTTATTGCAAAAAATTATTTGTGACGAATTTTGAACCTTTAGTTACAAAATTTTCCATGGGGTAATTTTGACCGCTTAATGATAGGAGATCTCGGTAACAACTGGAGTCTAGACTTAGAGTCTAATTTGTGATCTGATTCAAAAGTTTAAATTATTAAATAGTGCGACCTATATATATCTAATACATTTCTTATAAAAAATTCGAGACAAAATCCTTCGATACTTAATATACATTTACATTTTATTATTGAGAACCCAAAATCCCAGATTCTAAATAGTGAATAAGATGTTTAATAAGAGTATAAGTAATGGTTGAAGGTTTAAAGTTCTATGATGAAGTGCACGGAAGCTTCTAAAGCTGCCAAGGTTGAAAGATAAAAAAAGCTTCTTTGCTGATGCAGACTATTAATAACTTGTACAAGTTGAATTCCTTTTGTCGGTCCAAACGGGGAATAGGAATTCAGCCTGACGAACATGATGACGTAATAGTAGTCTTGCAAGAACACAAAACCTTCCCAAGGATTCAAATTGTTCCCCATAAAAACAAATACACTTGTTTAATTAAAAACACCAAAAACATGTACAAACTTTTAATAATGTCAATGTTGTGAGTGTTAACAGTTTGCTTGAATTTTTTAAGAAAAAATAAAGAAATAAAATTGTATAAAAATTAATGTCATTTGAGACATTTTCATCAAGAATGGTATACCAATAATATAATGTCTGGCACACCGAACATCTTTCCCTCGTCAATCATCCTTGTCTTTGCCATTAGCAAACTCATCTTTTGTCTCCGAAGAAGATTTAGGCTTTGAAGTGACATCCATTCTGATAGGCAAATGCATCTTGACATAGAACTTGAAGAACATGAAGAAAGTAACAGCATTAAGCACAAAGTTGACAAACCCAACCCCAATTCCATTACACCCACCTTTAAAGAAATGCAACAAAATAGCCCCAACATGAAAAACCAAATTGCAACCCAACAAAAACATCTGACAATGGATCACAATGCCCGGATAGGTCGGACCCGGGAACCCGAGTTCGGCCCAGAATCCGTACCCGAAGACCATGGAATACATGAGACTCACACAGAGAATGGTGAACACTTGGAAAGACTGAGAGAATTCAAGCCAGAGAAAAGACATACAGATGAAGATCGAGTCGTAGAAGAGCTGGATATGTGGGAGCGTACGACGTCGTAGGATGACGAAGAATGTGCGGAGTGGGAGGAGGAAGCGAGAGAGGTAGAAGACGTATGACCAGAAGAAGACCCGGCCGGAGGAGCGCGTGCCGAGTGGGAAGCAAAGGAGCCACTGAAATGGGGTCTTGGAGCGCTGCCAGAGCCACCGGGTGTCTCGGATCTCGGCGGCGACGGAGGAGAGGGTGCCGGCGAAGATGGCGGCGGAGATGAGGGTCATGGCGAGGCTGTGGAGGGCGGGGATGGGGCCGAGTGGGACGGGACGGCTGCGGCGCCTGAGGAAGAGAGGGAGGAGGAGGTGGTGGAGGGTGACGGCGGCGGTGATGTAGAAGGAGATGGAGGTGAGGAGGAAGAGCCAGGTGGAGCCCCATAATTGGGTGTTCCACCGGAATGTGACCATTTTGGGGTGCTCCGATAGCCAGTATTGCATGCTCTGGATCACCAAAGGAACCATTTTTGAGCAAATAATTCTAGTTTTTAGCTCTGTTTTTTTGGTTGGTTGTTGTTCTAAAATTGGATTGAGAAAATGGTGCTTTTGAAGATTATAGGGTATAAAAGATGGACAATGAATGAACTGTAAAGACCTTAATGAATGAAACGCTAATATATATATATATATATATATATATATATATAGTAGACCTTCTGGAAATTGGGAAGAAGGTATCAGAGACTTTTGACTCTGGCAATGAAGTTTTCACATCTATCATAAAAGAAATACATTTTTTTGTGAGAGATAATTAAAGATGAAAGAAGATAAATTTTAGCTAAATACTACTCCAAAATTTACCTGTAATTTAAAATTTTTATATTTAAATTCCAAAAATACTTCTTAAGTTAGATTTGTCAAACTCATGGGTTTCAATCTTCTTCTTTTTTTAAAATTTTTTTTTTTTAAAAAAAAAAAAAAAAACCATTAGTTAAACTTCTGGACTAAACGAATCAATCTAAATAGCATTACTCTTAAACTCAAATGTATGAGTTGGACTCTCACACAAATATTTAAATGATATATATAATTTGTGAACAATTAAATATATATATTTAAATTTTATCTTGCAATCAGGGCACCAAATGTAGTAAGATTAGAAAGATTTTGGTTTCAAAACATTTACATTATAAAATAAACAATTTTTATGAACCTAAAATCAGACATTAACAAGGACTTGTGGATGCTCTTAAGAGTCATACTTTTTACGGTATATAACTATTTTTTTGGATATCTTTTTCAAGTAAATTATGTTTAGTTTTATAATAAATTCTCAAATTTATCTAAGAAAAAAATAATAATAAGTCTTTGCCCTTTTGTAGAATTATCTTCTCTTTATTTTATATTGGGATAAGAAGAAGAAGGTTCTAATGGAGACAGTTCAAAACAACATTTTTCTTTTGTTTTACACATATTTTGGAGATTGGATTATGATGTGCAGGTAATTTGGAGTCTTTGTCCAAGAGATGGAAGTTTTTGGTTATAACTTTGGGTGTGTTTCAAAGATTTGTCTCGTATCGGATTAGCCATGTCAAGAGAAATGACAATAAAATTGCTCATAAAGTGGCCATGTTTTTGCGAAATCATATCTATCGTAGCGTTGTTTTATCTCATATTTCAGTAGACATTCGTCTTTGTGCTAAAATTAACTTAAATCATTTTAGAAGATTTTAGTTTCTTGCCTTGTGTTAGGCGGTTTGCCAATATCTATATATATATATATATATATATATATATATATATATGATGCGCAGAACAGTTGCGCAGACATATGATAAACAAATGTCTTACAGAGTTAAGACTATGGAAAGATTGGTGTATTTGACCATTCAATTGTGCCACCTTGTTAAATTGACAAACTATTAAATTAAGCCGTCACTTTTGTATGCATATAACATTAATTGATTATGTACATGTTTCGTGCGAGACTTTTCCGTTCTTCATGGTGTCTAACATTTTTGTACTTCTAGATCATGTTAAAACTATCCATACAACTGTATCATTGCTGATATTCCACAATGCTTGGGTCCTGCCTTGCAAGACTGGGAGACTTGGTCCAGCTTAGCTGATGTCCCAATAAAAAGGTGGCACATGTCTTAAAAATATCATAAAACGTAAATAAATAAATAAATATATATATATATATCTATTAAATCCATTTATAAATAGAACCAATCATGTAAAAAAAAAAAAAACTTTCTTTTCTCTCACCTCTAAAAACTTAGGTGATGATTCTCTTTTTAGGGACAGCTCCAAGAAAATATATAAGTTCAGTAGGGGCAATAGTAAATTTTTATAGGTATATATATATATATATATATATATAATATAATAAGATATAATAGAAATAAATAAAATAAAAAAAATATCAGCAGAAGCAATTGTCTCACTGAGCTCCTCATAGATTCATGCCTGCCTTGCCGGCGGCAGGACACAAGCGTTTGTCAAACTCATTCTATTAACTTATCGACTAAACAAATTAATTTTAATAACATTACTCTTAAATTCAAATATTCTTTCACACAAATATTTAAATGATATATATGATTTTTGAACTAATTTAAATTTAATCGTGTTGTCACGTATACCAATCATGGTCAGATTAGAAGGATTTCAGATTCAAAAAATTTATATTATAAAATAAATTTTTATGAGTATGAACCTAAAATCAAGCATTAACAAGGACTCGAGTATGCTCTTACGGGTCATACTTCTTTCGGTATATAACTAGTTTTTCCAATATCCTTTTCAAGTATAAATTATATTTAGTCTTCTAGTAAATTCTCAAATTTAGCTGAAAAAAGTCTTTGTCCTTTTGTAGAATTGTCCTCTCTTTATTTTACAACCATAGTCCCTAGTCTAGTATATTGGGGATCAGAAGCGTTGAACGTTCTAATGGAGACACTTCAAACCAACAAATTTTCTTTCTTTCTTGAGATCTGGAGATTGGAATTCTGAGGTTTCGTGTGAGTGTTCCATCTGCATAGACTTCTAAGTATGCATGAATAGTTGCGCAGACATATGATGACAGATTTCTTCAGACTACCGCAAAAGAAAAGATAGGTTCCATTTGACATTCAATTGTGCCACCTTATTGCCTCTATCTAACCCTTCAGCCGCCCCCTTTCGTTTTCTCTCTACTGTTTGCTCCTCACTCCCTCCCTCTCGTGGGAGTGGGGAGGTGCTGATTCTTACCTCATATCGCTTAATAAACTCGGTAATAAGTTAGCTCGGTGGGTGACTTTCATGTCATTTTACTATTGTTTTGCTAGATCTGTTCCTGTTTGGCTTGTTTCTTGTTAGACGGGGTGGATCTGTTGTTTTATTTTCGACTAGATCTCTGATCTATGTCGGGTTTTGGTATCCTCTCCTTTTTGTGCATTGTTTAGGTAGTTTTTTCCCAGTCCGCGACGCCTTGTGGATAAAACCTTAGAGCAGTTGTCTTGATAATGACCTGACCATTGAGTCACTCCCATTGTTGCTCTTCTCTCTGAGTGGTTCGCTGATGTGTCTTGGCATGTTTCTCAACAAATCGGAGGCTATTCTTCAGTTTTTCTTTGATTGTTTCTTGATTTGTTTGTTTTTATACGCTTTTATGATTATATTTGTAGATATCTTGTTTTTCTTGGCAGGATAAAAATAAAATAAAAAAAAGTGCCCACCTTATTAATTTGACATCATATTTGCATTATTAAAACATTCTGAAAATTCCGCTCGTCATAGGATACCTAGCCTTCCTTCTTACAAGGTACATGGCCCAATCAAAACTTACCTATATAAAACTTAAAAAGAAATAAAAATGAGTCATTTTCTCTCTACATCGTCACGCACATGACTCTTTCTCCTCTAGCAAAACTCCATTGTTTCCCCCACCTCCTAATCTTTATCACGTGCTCTACTACCAACCTTGTGGGATATAAATTTGTATTTAAAAAAAAAAAAAAAAACTTAAATCGAGGAGGGATTATAAGAATCACGATACTTAGACCGACCATTCTAATCGATTTGTTAGGCTTACGACTTTAAAGCAATTGAGCATGCTAGTAGGTAGGGCTGCAACTCATGCGTGCCCAACCTAAAATAACCCGAGCCTAAGTCGTAATTTTGTGAGCTTGAATAATGTTTTTCTAATTTCGATTTGATCTTGAGCTATATATTTTAAACCCGAATTCAATTCGGACTAGGCTTGGGTTGATATAGATAAAACCTGAAATCTAACCCGAGCTCGAAAATATTATATATATTTATAATTATATTTAAATCATAAGAGTGTAGTAATCAAATTAGTAGTGTGTTTGGGATTTATGTTTAAGATTTCAGGTTCAAGTCACGAGTGCAGCACACACATTCCACTAAAATTCTTAGGAAAAATTGCTCAAGTACCTTTTTATGAATATGAAAATTCTTTGGGAACTTGATTCAATTGTTGAGTCCTAGTGTTTTTTTTTTTGGTAGAGATAACCCATTCAAATAATTAATAAGATGTCATCATTATCCCCTTAACCTCTTAATGATACGTGAACTACATAGCATCTTGTGTTCTTAATCTTAGATTCTTTTGAAGAAGTGAAAAGTTCCTCATTGGTAAAGATAAAATTTAAGGCTCTACGTTTTCTTTTATTTTCAAAAATGTATTTAAAATATATCTATCCATATTTATATTATTATTAAAAAGCACAAAGAGTTTCAGTACATTAAAGAGTTTCAATACATTATTTTATAATAAAAATAATATAATAAAAGAAAATACTAATAATAATAATAATATAGTAATAAAAAATACTGAAATTTAATAAAATGAAATCTAATCAGAGAATAAAATATATAATATTAAAAAATTTAATTACTAAAATATAATTCAAGAAAAAAAAAATTTAATAATATAACATAATGAAATACTAAACTTGACTGGTATATATATATATATATATTTTTGAAGAGCCCCCACTCGGATGACTCTGGCTCGCCAAACAAGGGCTTATTGGCTCACTACATAACCATTACATGGGATGCTCTTAAGAATAATTACCAACTATACTGTTATAATTTTATCTAAGTCAAATAGATAAAAATGTTTTTAAAATGCATAATGCATAAAATGTTTAATACTTGTATTATACTAATCAACTTAAAAATACAAGTATTCTTTATTAACTTCAAAACTTAGACTCTCTCTTTTTTTTTTTTTTTTAAAAAATGTTCATCTTTTCATTTTTTAATATCTAAAAGTAAATTTTCTGTTTGAAAAGTCAAACATTACTAATTTGATTTTCTTATATTAAACTTATAGAAAGTAACCATCATATTTAATTTTTTATGAGTCCGTTATGATTAATTTGGTAATTTATTCATTATCACTATAATAAAAAAATATTAAATCTTTTTAAATAGTTAAATTTTTGAGAAAAAAACGTTCAATTTGAAAAACAGAGAATAGAAAAAAAATGCAAAATTTTAAATTGCATGTAAATAAGTATATAATATACACATATAATTTGAGTTTTTTAATAACTATAATTGGTAGCACTTTGTTATTCTTTATCGATAAAAATAAAAAGACTAAGATACCGTTTGTTTCAAAGTAAAATATTTTTTTTAGAAAATATATTTTTTTTATATAAAATATTCTTTTATTTTTATTTTGTCGATATTTGGTAAAAATCTATCTCGAGATTGAGGTTTAATTTATCTAACGGGGCATGTAAAATAACTTGTGAAAAATTTATAAATAAATTATTTTTGTTAAATTTTAATATTTTTTTTCTTCGTAAATAATTTACGACAATCAAACAATAAAAAATAAAAAAATATTTTTTAAAAAATATTTTACGTCAAACAGTCAAACAAACAGAGATTAAATTAAAAAAATAATTGTTTTCAAACAAATGGAGGCCTAAATCAGAAAATCAGAAAAATAATTACGAACCTTGGGAAGTTCTTCGAGGTGTCATTCACACCGTTGGATCAAGATTCCCGTTAAGCATCCACCGGTCAGCATCAACCACCTCCCGAATAATGCCAGCTGGACCTCTACGCACCGACATTTTGCTTACCTAAGACTTTTCCGCGTTTTACCGTATACTTGTGCAAATAAATAAAACCTAATCAGAGGGACTTGAAACTTTCCAACAGATTTTTTATTCACGTCTCCGTCAGCGAATTTTTCAGGTAGTGACACAACTACGTTCTTCATTATTCTCTCACCTTCCTTCTTTTAGCTCATTAAGGTTTGTTCTCTCTTTTTGAATCATATAATACACTTGTACTTTTTCTCTTTTTGAAACTTTTAATTGCGTGCTCTTTTCGTCATGCTCGTTTATCATTGCACAAGATCTTGCAATTTTGGTTCTTGAATTTGGTTAATTTGATTTATTTTTGGGTTGGGGAATTGGGTTTGGTTTATTTTATTTATTTTCCTGATTTTTTTTTGAAAGTTGAGAAAATTTGGTGGGGTTTTTTATGGGAATGAAATTTGATCATTAATGTAATGATTAATTTGACTTTGTTTCTCTAATATTTTCAATAGTTTTATCTATGTTATTGGACTGTAGTGTTCTGATCTTTGTTTGGCTTCAATTGGATGTATTTTCCGGATTTTTGATGTTTGATGGATATTATTGGGATTTTCATGATTTCAATATTCTTTATTAGAAAATAGGGTTTTCTCTTTTTTGAAGTTCTTCTGTTTGTAGTAGTTAGAAATTCGTTGAATCATGAATTCAGTCTTACATATAATTTATTTTAGTATGGCAAACAACCATTCATTTAGTAAATTAGTGAGAGATTTTGAATATTTAATAGAGAGATTGTGAAGGTTGAGAAAATTTTGTGGGTTTTTTTTGGGTTTGAAATTTGATCATTAATGAAATGATTAATTTGACTTTGTTTCTCTAACATTTTCAATAGTTCTATCGATGTTATTTGAATATAATGTTCTGATTTTTGTTTGGGTTCAATTGGAAATTGTTCAAATTATTTGATGTTTGATGGATATAATTGGGATTTTCATGACTTCAATTTTTTTTTTTTCGAAAAGAGGGTTTTTTCTTTTTTGAAGATCTTCTGTTGTAGTTGTTAGATTTTCGTTGAATCGTGATTTTAGTAACATTGTCATATTCAATCTTACATATAATTTAGATTTTTCTTATTATTTATTCTTTGATTAGTTTTGTATTTCTGGATTTGTGATAAGATTGGTAGTTCCTGATTTTGGTGAAGAATTAAATTTTTGTGGCTGGTTTTAATTTATGGTCTGTATGATATGTAGGGTATTTGAGTATAGGTTGAGAGATGGAAAGCGGGTTGGGGGAATCAATTAGCAGGCCACCCCAAAGCCCTTCATGCTCAAGCAATAATGGTAGCTACAATGATGCTGGTGACTTTGAATGTAATATTTGCTTTGATTTAGCCCAAGACCCAATCGTAACTCTCTGCGGTCATCTCTTTTGCTGGCCTTGCCTTTACAAATGGCTTCACGTGCACTCACATTCTCAGGAATGCCCGGTTTGCAAGGCCCTTATTCAAGAGGAAAAGTTGGTTCCTCTGTATGGCCGGGGAAAGAATTCGACGGACCCAAGATCGAAGTCAATTCCTGGAATTAATATTCCAAATCGTCCAGCCGGGCAGAGACCCCAAACAGCTACTCCTCCAGATTCAAATCCTTTTGCCCATCATGGGTTTGGAGTCATGGGAGGATTTGCGCCTGCCGCGACCGCCAGGTTTGGCAACTTCACATTATCTGCGGCATTTGGTGGTCTCTTCCCATCGTTGTTTAACCTTCAGGTGCATGGATTTCACGATGCTAGCATGTATGGAACAGCTGCTGGTTTTCCCCACGGGTTTTCTAATACATTTCACGGGGTACATGCACATGGATTCCCTCAGCACACAAGTCAAGGTCAGCAGGCAGATTATTATCTGAAGTTGCTGTTTTTGATGATTGGTATGTGTGTGATTATTGCTCTAATTTGGAACTAGGTTAATGTTACTACCTGAGCTTAAATTTCTAAGCGATGTCTAGGATTGTCAAACTCATGTTCTTTGCATAGCTGTTAGCACATTTGATGTGCACCTTACTTTTCCACCTTTTTGGTGGCCGTGGAAATTGTTCATATGATACTTTGTCGGAACTATAGTAGGAACTGCTGTAGGTTCTGTTACTGTCCCTCATTAGTCTGTAAATGTGACTTTTGCCTATTTTCATTATTGTATTTCAATTTCTCTTCCCTGTCCTTCCCTTCCAAAACACAAACCCGCATGGGAGGAATGCATTGTACGATAGAGCATGATAATAAGAGTAGCAAGTGAATGTTTTCTTAATTTGAGTTCACTTGCAGTTTCAATATCCATTCACGTTAGACTACATGGGTTAACGTATACTTATATATGTTATTTTGGAATTTTAACATGGCACTCGTATTTCTTTTTTCCTTGTATATTTATTTATTTGTATATTTGGAGGGGCAGTGTATTACTTCTTGCCAACTAATGGTGATTCTGTGATGAGTCACTGATGATGGAGCTTCTGTGTTGTTGAAGGGCCATATTGTACCATAACACGGGTAGCCTTTTGTGGAGGTTCTATCATAGTTAAAATTGAAAGTCAGTAGAAGTTTTAGACTGTTGCTAAACAAAGCTCAAACTTGTCACACAGTAGATGGGATGGCTTCATTATCTTCAAAAGGTTGTTTGAAAAAAATTATCTATTCACGAGGATTCACTCGGGCTGAAAGTTAGCAATACTGTCGGTTTTATTTGGTTAGTTTAAATTTTTTATTTATTTTTTAATTATATCTTATTCTTTTACATTAAATGTAGGGTTTTATCTTGTGTTGAAGGATTTAAAAGTTACACCATCTCTAATAGCTTAAGCTTTTAGAGTAGATGGTTGTTGACATGGTATTAGAACCAAAGGTCTCAATTAAACTTCACCGTCACCCTAATTGAAGTTGAAAAACAAGTGTTGGACCAAAAAGAAGGCGACACGTGAAGGGACGTGTTGAAGGATTTAAATATTAAAAGTTACACTCTCTCTAATAGCTTAAGCTTTAGAGTAGATGGTTGTTGACATCTTGTTTTTATAGTTTATTTTTAACTTTGCTTAACTAGAATTGTGAAAAGAAAAGTAAATATTTGGTGTGGGAGAGAAGCAACTTATTCACAATTGTTGATTTTTTTTTTTTCTCTGGGTAAATAAAAATTTGAGATTTCTTTTGACCCTGCTTAATATTTTATGAAAAATGATTTCATTTTGCATCCATCCATCGTTTCTTGCAGTTCTTGATGGATAGTTTATGCGTGATGTAGTGTAGCTGTTTAACTATTGCAAACTAGTTACTAAGATATTAAGGATATCGGTGATTTGCTCTCGGTCTCTCCGTGCCCGAGCACGTGGAGAATCTGGCCCATAGTTGGGAAATACTTGTTTCGAGAAAAATCCTTTGTGGTAGTTGTATATTTATTGGATTAGATAAAAATTTCAATACCTACTTCAGACTCATGTTTGAGAAATGATTCCTAGCTTTGTTCATATTACTATTATTAATAATTATTATTTTTTTGGGTGAATATTTATTAATTAATTTGTAATGAGGTCGTTGGATATTTGACTTCAACTGTGCACTTAATTAACTGACACCCTGATTGTTAATTTTGTTGAATGAATAGAATTTGTCAAAAGTACAGATTACGTAACAGTAAATATGATATAAACTTGGTACAGTGTGGTCTCCAACCCAGAAAATGTACATTAGCATCTCCCGTAGCATCTGAATAATACATCAAGAACTCGGAATTGTGATGCGCCTAAAGAATTTCAGTGGAATAGATAAAAAAAACTCTGAAAACAGAATGCTAGGAACTTCTTAGGACATGGTTAGAGTGGATGGAGACTATTTTAGAGGGGAATTTATTGCAGTTCTATTTTGAATTTAAATTGTTATTGTTACTTTAATTCTTTTTTTTCCCTGATTTTTAATGTCATTTTTTTTTTTTTTTTTAATAACAGTATTTCTGTAAGTCGATAAGTATCATTGCTAATGCACACAATACAACTATGATAGTTATATAGTCTCTATGAATATGTTAAGCTACTGACAAAGACAACTGAGTGTTTTACACTTTAACAACATTGTGGATAGAGCAATTAACTTGGATGGATATCCAATAATGTTCAGTGGATATCTACACCTTGCACTCTCTGTTTTGCTTGTATGAACATCCTCAAGAGTCTATTTGGCCCATCGTATGGTAACCTAACCAATGCTGTGATGCTTCTGTGTGGTTTAGCTATAAATGTTTCTGTGTCTACTGGAAAAATCGTAAAAATTGATTGGGTAGAAGTTGATTTATGTGTCTATCGCATAATTGGCTGCCTTTAACCGCAAAATAGTGTTGGCTTTTGCATCTTTTGTTCATGAAAGTTACTTTGCTTTTTTTATTGAGTAAGTTAGGTGGTGAACCTTGATGAAGTAATTTTGTTGTTTCTTGTTCTTTTCATGGAGACGTTGGGTTTGTTTTTTTCTTTTCCTTCTCACCCGAGGAAAATATCATAGATTGCTCTGCTTTTACTATCAAGTATGGAGATGCTCAAATTTTGTGTGTGGTTTGGTGTTGGAGCTTACTAGCTTGCCGGACTCCGTTACATGTAGTCTGCGCTCTTTTTGTGATTTATTACTTTGATGCGAGAGATCTTTAATCCAAGTGAACATTCCGTGGTCATAAGTTGATTCTTGGAGTGATTCATGGGGTTGCATGGTGTTGCATTCGCACCTTAAAGGACAGGTTAAGTTTTGATACCAAAACCCTCAAGCTAGAGGTTTGTGGTCGTGCCCTAATGATTCCCAACTCCCAAGGAAATGTGGCATAGCTTGCCCTAGAAAGTTGATTAAGGTTGTATCCTGAGCAGTCTATATTGTTGCCTTATATTATTAACAATTATTTTAGAATTAGTTGATGTTTACATATAAAGCCACATTCTTCCATTTGCAGTTTTTGTATGCAAGAGCTGAGATGTGAGATTTGTAATAATAGTTCTGAATGGGTTATGATGGTAATAGAATAGGTGTGTGTGTGTGTCTTGGTACAGTTTTTTCTGCAATGCTGTGATATTAACAAGAGGACCTGTGAACGGATTTATGCTGTAGTAATTGACAAGTGAGGAGACCTAGAGCATGTGTTTTTTTTTTTTTTTTTTTGTTGCATGGATTGCTTGTGTGAAATCTTCTCAATTTAGGGGATTTTCAAGTTGTAAAATCCTTTTATGATTGGGTTGTGAAGAATTTCAATTTCAAATGCAAATATTAATCTGTTTAAGTAATTTATCATTGGAAGATGGTGAAAGTGATTTATTTATTTATTATTATTTTTTATTAGGGTTCTCAATTTTGCATTTCAGAAAGTAGGAGGGCTGGGACTGAGCTTAGATTTAAAAGCCCAGTATGGTCCAACTTCCCCAGCCCAAGTAGTCCATTGCAGACCCAAAAAAACACACATACTGTGCCCCCTTTGGGACGGGAGCTTGTATGAGAGTTGATTTGATTGACTAATGGTTGCTCTCCTGAGAAGCTTAGACCTCCTTTTTTAGAAGGTGAAGAAATACCAATGCCTTTTAATGAAGCATGTATTTGATTCGAGTTGGCGTTGTCTAAAATCTTTAGTTTCTAACTTTACAAGTAAAAAAAAGTATTTGATTCGAGTTGGCGTTGTCTAAAATTTTTAGTTTCTAATTTTACGAGTAAAAAAAAGTAGGAGGAAAGTTTGTTTAGAAGAACATTTCTACCTATTGTGTATAATTTTTTTTTGTGTAAATCTGACGTGTCATAATATATTTACTCAAAAATTTTGGATTATTTATTTTTAGTTCCACCGATTGTTTTATACCTTGTGTAAAAATATATCATATTTGGACCCCATTTTTATAAACTTACTTAATATAAGATTAAGAATGAGAAAAAGATTGGAGAAATGAAATATGTTGATGTAGCTGTGTAAAAATATAAAAAAATTTACACATCATCCGTGACCGTATATATTTTACACAATAAAGTATTTTAACGGACCTTTAATGGGACTCGAATTGAGAGATATTAATGGGACTCAAATTGAGAGATATTACTTGCCAGATTTGATTTGATGTTGAAAAATAAAAAATAATAATAATTTAAAAATAAAAACAACAACATTGTCTCTGCTTCTGAAAGTTTGATCCCTTAATAGGAATTGCATTGAAATTACAATTCCGTGATTTCAATTTTTTTTTTTTGCCCTGAAACAAAAAGCCAACAGGCCCATTACAGGATCACCCAACAAACATAACAGAAGCATAAGAGAATCACATACACAGCAAACCAGACTACTCCAAAGAAACCTAACATTAAGCTAGGAGATGGTCATGAGAACTAGAGCTTAAACAATTTCTTGAGGAGGAGATCGTCTAGCACCAACCAACATTGAACAAGCCAAAAAAACACCAGCGGACTACCCAAGGAGAAGAGCAGCAACGGAAGTGACCCAAAGGTCAAGCCATCATCAAGACAACAGCTCTAAGACTGCATCCACAAGGCGTCGCCGACTGGGGGAAAAATCACTCAAACCCTGCACAAAAGGCGGGGACACCAAAACCAGACATGGATCAAGAAATTTACCCGGAAACAAAACAACAGATCCACCCTGTCGAGCCAAAAGCAAGCCAAACAAGAGCAGATCTAACAAAATAACAGCAAAACGGCGTAAAACTCACCCACCGAATGAACTTATTATACCACGCCGAATTTATTAAGTGGTAGGAGGCAATGATCGGCCCCTCCCCACTCCCATGGGAGGGAGTGGGGAGCAAAAGAGAGAAGACGAAAGGGAGGCGGCTGAGGGTTGACAAACATAGAGAACAGTCACATCATCTCTAAAACTTACCGAAGATTCTAAAGTTGGTCAACAATCAAATTAAAATGTGAATGCAAACACAGAGGAATGTTCTGGCACCAGCAGGGACAAAGATTACATAACCATTCTATAGAAGTCCGGAAGAAACAACCCAAACAAAGTCAACGATTCAAATGTATCATTATCCAATGTCTTTTCAAATTATCAGGAAGGTCGCAAAATGTCTCAAACTTTATTTGATCATGCCTAAATAGATCTACTGCCAATAAGAGTTGTGTTCGGTCCAAATCTGGAACCTTAGAGACTTTTTCCAACACCATCTTGGTACTTGCCTTTGGAGGTTCAGACAAAAATTTCTCGAAGCAGTCAACCATACGTCCCAAAACTGCATGTAGTGCATCTGAACTGCGTTGTTTTCTTTTTCTAGACTCTGAATCTGAAGAGGATGAAGATCTTCTAAGTAGGCGGTCTTCAAAAATGTTAGTAGCATGGTCATCCGACCCATCATTCCCGTATGATTCCGACAAATTTTGAGCACCCTCTCTAATTCCATGGTCTTGTGTAAAGAGAGTACATATGTCCTCCCAGTTCTCTATTGAGATTTTCTCCCGATACGGTGCAGCTTCAGGATGTTCCTACAAATTAATTAATTATAAAAAAAAAGCACTAAATAAATTAAACCTCTAGAAAAAAAAAATGGTTTCAAACCACAATGTTGACACTATGCAATGATGATGAGATGCATTTATCTATCTGTCAAACAGTTCTAACCTTTATCCAAGCATTCCAAACTGATTTTTCACTAACATGTATCATTCCTCTGGCATAATCCCAAGAAAAACCTGATTTGGAGAGCATGTCACTTATAATAGTATAATGTTTGTTCCAAGTTTTTAGACGGGATTGAATGTTTTGTTTTGTGACATCAATATCGAGCTGCTCTTTCAAAGCACTAATAGCAGCAGTCCAAGCAACCTGTTTCCACGCCAATTTACCATTGAGACGGTTTCCCAAGTTTAGCTGATCTATTAACACAGCTGACAATATACGATCCATCTCAACAGTCCATGTAAAATATCTTGGTGACTTCCCTTTCTTACTGACCTCTCCAGTTTGTGATTCAGGTGCCATGCCTAGCGCCACTTGAAATATCAGGCTTCAAAATCATCAACAACTAAAAATAAAAAATAAAAGGCAAATAAGAGAACATCTGCAGATTAACTTTTTGAAAAAAAAAAAAAAAAAAAATTCAGAAAAAAACAAAAACAAAATGAAGCTCCAAATAACAGAGAGTTAGCATCGAGGGAAAAAAAAAAATTAGACACCTGCAGATTAGCTTCAATGGTTATGGGAAAAACAGGCAGTGGTATCCAATCTGCAAGAACACCGAAATTATGCTAAACTCCTGCATTTCAAAATCTCATCATGCTGAGGTGGAGAGAGAATATGAAATAAAATTGCCCGAAGAAAGAGAGATTAAAATATTAAGATGGTAGAAAGACTGGTAGAAGTTCAAAGAATAATAGATGTGAATCATTCAAGCATATAATCTGGCAGCTAACGATATAGATAAGTACAACATGCGTAAAGTAAAGGATATGCCTGTGATGGATCTAATTTCTGTCTTTCAATATCCCCCTTGCCATTTAACTAGTTTTCAATAACACAAAACTAAACACAAGCATATACATGTATATATGCACATTTACTCTATTGGCAAATAATCTGGCAGATTGTGATATAGAGAAGTACCGCATGGCATATGCAATGATTTGGAGGACAATTTTATATTGCTGGTGGATGATGTCATAAAAGAACCTGTTAAAACACTTATATGTATATATGTATTTATGCTGGGGTCTTATTGTAATTAGACATAGGGTTTGTGGCCTTTATGTAATTAGGCCTTTATTGTATTGTATATAACTTCCTTTATGTTTTAGGGTTAAAGATATATGAAAAATGGGCTGAGACTCTCTCGCCATCTCTCTCACTCTCTCTCTCTCTCTATTCTCATTATATTCAAATCTCCATTTTTTCATGGTATCAGAGTAGATCGAAATTGTGAGTGTGGGAAATTGCAATTGTATGGTTCTTGTATAGATCTGTAGATCTGTTCAGAGCTCGTGACGGTGGTGTTGTTGCCGTTTTGGTTGTCGACGAGCTCGCCGCCTTCTCTTGTCGTCGCTGCTTGTTGCTTGGTCTCAGATCTGAAACCCAGTTTGGTTACTCGCGTTTTGTTGCCGTTTCAGTTGTCAACGAATTCACCGCCTTCTCTTGCCGTCGCTGCTTGGTCACCGGCAGTTGTCGTCGTCGTTGCTGCTCGTTGTTTGGTCATCGACGGCTGTCGCGAGGTGCATCGCTGCTTGTTGACTCCATCGTCGCTGCTGCTGCCGTTGCGCGCTTGCCGGAGAGCTGAGAGACGAATGGTGTTTGGCTACAGGGTGCTCGCTATCCTAATCTGGGTTAATATAAACCGGATTTGTTCCGACCCGATTTAAGGTCTGATCTGTTTGACCTGATTCAAGATCTGACCCGTTTGACCCGATTCAAGATCCGACCCGATTTACTTACCGGTCTGTTTCTTTTGTTCCCGGTTCAACTCTGGTCTGGCCTTCTCAGGTGCAACAGTTTCTTTGGTTCCTCGGTACAGATTTGGCATCTTAACTTGGCGGAGATAAGTTCTTTTTTTCTTTTCATATTCATATCTCCATGCCGGACGATTCAAATGTTGCTTCTAGGTCTACTGGAGTTAAATCTTCTGCAACATATGTTGATCCTGTTGGGCTGCAAATTACATCTATGAAATTAAGTAATTCCAATTACTTACTATGGGCTCAAGCAATAAAGATTTCTTTAGGTGCCCGACGAAAGCTGAAGCCTATTACAACTGATCCTCCAAAAAAAACATTAGCAACATATGAGGAGTGGGAAACTGATAACTATATAGTTATGTCCTGGTTGTGGAACAGTATGGAACCTTCAATTGCATCCACCTTTATATTTGTCAACATTGCCAAGGCAATCTGGGATGCAGTTAAAGAAACTTATTCTATGGACACAAATGTTTCTCGCATATATTCATTGTATGAAAAGATATTTCATTCTCGTCAATCTGACTTCTCTGGTCAAGGCCATGGTGAGTATTACAGTAATTTCAAAAGCCTGTTAGATGAGTTAAATCAGTACCACCCCTTGACTACTGATCCTGATGTTCTCAAGCGACAACGTGAGGAATTTTCTGTTTCCATTTTTCTTGCTGGTTTGCACCCGAACCTTCATAATATTCGGGACCAAATTCTTGCGGGTGATGGAGGACTCCCATCTTTGGGTAACATTTATTCCCGCTTACTTAGGGTTTCAGAACAATCACATGTGACGCCCACTGGAGTGAAAGAAAATTCAGCTATGATGATTCCTTCTATTTTTCCACAGTCCTCTCGAGGTCGTGATAGTCCTGGTGGCAACAGAGGGTATGGTGGAAATTCAGGTGATACTCCTAGTGGCAACAGAGGGTATGGTGGAAATTCAGGTAGTTCTCGTGGCGGTAGTGGCCATGATAGAAGTCGCAGTCGCCGTGGTCGTGGACATAGTGACACTCGTATGTGCAGCCACTGTAAGGGTACTAACCATTCTGTTGAGAACTGTTGGACTCTTCATGGGAAACCAGGATGGGCAAATCAAGCAGTGTCTTCCTCTGACCTTGCGGGGTCTCATCCCTCTCTTGGTCAGACTTCTGTTTTACCATCACCTGCATCTACTAGTGACACTGTGACACTATCACTATCACGAGCTGAGTTCAATGCATTGGTCAACCGGACACATCCCAACTCTACTGATGTAGTTAATTTTGCGCAATCAGGTAATATTACATGCTTGTCTGATTTACAGACTTCAGCATCCCCTTGGGTTATTGACTCTGGGGCTTCTACCCATCTCACAGGCGATGCCTCTCTATTTTCTAATTTTCAGAAGTCTAGTTCCTCATCTTTTGTTACTCTAGCTGATGGTAGAACATGTTCCATTATTGGCCAGGGAACAATTAAATTAACCCCATCCATTTCTTTATCCTCTGTGCAATTAGTTCCAAATTTTCCCTTTAATTTATTATTTGTAAGTAAATTGACTCAAGCTCTGAACTGTTTTGTCACATTTTATCCTTCGTCTTGTGTCTTTCAGGACCTCAACACGAAACAGACGATTGGTGGGGGCAGTAACAGAATTGGCCTATACTATTTGGATTGCAAACCTTCCACTATTGCTTTACATTCACAGATGTCTGTGTACAAGTGGCATTATCGGTTAGGTCATCTCTCGTTGCGGTATTTGAAGTCTGCTTTGCCTTTCCTTGAGTCGGTGTCTATTTTAAATTGTGAATCTTGTTAGTTGGGTAAGCACCATAGAGTGCCTTTCCCTCCTCATATTGTTAATCGTCGGTCTTCTTTGTTTGAATTAGTACATTCAGACATTTAGGGTCCCGCTCGTCACATTAGTCACTCAAGTTTTTCTTATTTTGTTACCTTTGTTGATGATTATTCAAGGATGACTTGGTTGTTTTTAATGAAAGATCGTTCTGAACTGTTTTCCATATTTCAAATATTTTTAAAAGAAATTGAGGTCCAATTTGGGTGTGTTATACGACTTTACAATCTGATAATGCTATGGAGTATGTCAAAGGTGCTATTTCTAGTTTTTGCGACTCTCGTGGTATTTTGCACCAAACTTCTTGTTCTTATACTCCCCAACAAAATGGCGTAGCTGAACGGAAAAATAGGCATTTAATTGAAATAGCTCGTACATTGATGATACATATGCATCTTCCAAAAGCATTTTGGGGCGATGCTGTTTTAACTGCTTGTTATTTAATTAATCGTATGCCATCTTTCGTTCTTAATTGGAAATGTCCTTATTCCCTTGTTTTTTCTATTCGACCATTATTTGCATTGCCGCCTCGTGTTTTTGGGTGTGTCTGTTTTGCTCACATATTACGCCCTGGCGCTGATAAATTGTCTCCTCGTGCCATTAAGTGTGTCTTTTTTGGATATTCTCGGACTCAAAAAGGTTATAAATGTTGGGATCCTAGCACTCGTAAGGCTTTTGTGTGCATGGACGTTACCTTTTTTGAGGATACTACTTATTTTTCTTCACATAGTTCGTCTTTAGATACCGAGCTACTAGTTCCGTTGCCTGTTGTGTCACATTCATTACCTTGTGACCCACCACAATCACCTCATGTGCCACCGCCACTTCAAGTGTATAGCCGTCGATCACGAGTAGTCCCCCCCCCCCCCCCCCCAATTGTCTACTTCCATTGAGGCTCCTCCTGCTACTGATGATCTTCCTATTGCATTACGTAAGGGTGTTCGCTCATGTGTCACTGCACACCCCATATCTAACTTTGTTTCCTATAAAAAGGTATCGCCCTCATTTTCTTGTTTTTTATCCACGTTATCTGCTACTGCTGTTCCAAAAACTGTGCAGGATGCTCTATCTGATACAGCTTGGCGCAAAGCCATGATAGATGAAATGGATGCTCTTCATCATAATGGGACATGGGATCTTGTCTCCTTACCCCCCGGTTCCAAAATGGTTGGTTGTAAGTGGGTTTACACTGTCAAATATCTCCATGATGGATCTGTTGAGCGATTGAAGGCTCGCCTTGTTGCAAAGGGATACACACAAACCTATGGTATTGATTATGACGAGACCTTTTCTCCTGTTGCGAAGATTTCTTCTATCCGAATCCTTATTTCTATTGCCGCCAATCGTAATTGGCCATTGTTTCAATTAGATGTGAAAAATGCTTTCTTACATGGTGACTTACATGAAGAGGTTTACATGGAGCAACTACCTGGATTTGTTGGGGGAGTCTCGTTATGCTGTATGTCGGCTTAAAAAGGCCCTATACGGATTGAAACAATCTCCAAGGGCTTGGTTTGGAAAATTCTCCGAGGCGGTACTTTCCTTTAGCCTTAACAGATGCGAGACAGATCATTCGGTATTTCACCAACATACTAAAACTGGCTTTATATTTCTTGTAGTATATGTAGATGATATTGTTATAACAGGTGATAATTCTGAAGACATTGCAAAGTTAAAATTGTTCTTATAGAATCGGTTTCACACAAAGGATCTAGGCAAACTCAAATATTTCTTGGGTATTGAGGTTGCTAGATCCAAGGAAGGTATAAGTCTATCTCAAAGAAAATATGTGTTGGACTTGTTAAAAGAAACAGGTATGTAAGGTACTCGCCCTGCTGATGCTCCTATGGACACAAATATAAAATTATTACCTGATGAGGGTGATTTATTTGACGAACATGGCAGATATCGACGTCTAGTTGGTAAATTAATTTATCTCACTATCACCCGACCTGACATTTCATATGCAGTTAGTGTTGTAAG